CAGCAGAATCATACTCCTACTTGGGCTCTAAAAAGATAAAAGGGTTAGTAGGTCCAATCAATACAAAAGCCCATTAGCTGCAAATTATCTCTTAAATTTTTTGATCTGCTTCTCAAAATCATCAGTTACTCTTGTTACATATTAGTTTTTTTAGAGATTATATTTTTCCGTATCTATTGTTCATATCAACACACTAAAGTCTAAAATGTCTTAACATATTTGACTTGGTCCATCCATATGCTTTCATATCTTCAGGGATGTTATTTTGTGTTTTTTTATTATTAACAACTTTCTAAGCCACGGATATTTAGTTGGGCTCAAAGCAAAGATCCACCAAATCTGTAACAAAGTTGTTGTATGTACATGAATATAACGGGTACAGAGACATTTGAGGTGGGCAAAACCCAAACGTTGCAAGGGGAACCAAAGTAAAGACGAAAGAGAGGTATTAAACTCCGCCGTTTTCATAGTTTATAGTTTTCTTATTATTTATTTTTGTTACAGATCAGCCACGAACTTTAAAACATAACAAATCCGCACTACATGTACACTACTCAAAAATTTGACAGATGAAAATCGATTTATATTACAAGATGCTATTTTTTAATAATGACTCTGCTAGTATGAACATGGATGAAGACAAATTAAAACACTTAAAAATTGTTACTGGTATAGTTTCTGATAAGATTTTGATTGGCCTAGCTATCCTAGGAAAGCATGGATCTTGATGTTACATGTACTAAATAATTAATATACAGAGGTATATACTTAGGTAGGTTAAAACCAAAATTAAATAAAAAATAGACAATAAAAGCAAAATGTCGTAACCTTTGCAAAGTTGTAAGCTTCTGACCAATTTTGCTTGGAGAGCAAAACAAGCTCGAAGCTTCCATATTTGACGGCCACAGAAGGAAGAAGCTCCAGGAAGGAACTTAAGCTCCACATCATCTTTGAAGGTGACTACGTTGTTATTGTTATAATGTTAATGTTCCTCAAGTGTTCCTTTAGATTATACATAGTCAAAACGTTTGCTTGATTCATGGAGTAGATTAATTTGTTAAGGTTTGAATGTGTGGATAAATGCACAAGGGTTTTTGAGAAGCTGATACTTTCTGGGTTTCTTGAAAAAGTTTTCTTGATTCATGGAGTTGGGGGAAGCTTGAAATGAATTCTTTGAAATCTAACAAGACTAAGGGTGACTTTTGAATTAGTAATGTACATTAGATAGTTTCATGTAACTAAATTACTGTGTTGGTGAGAGAACTCTGATAGTGTATTAGGTTTGCCAATTTATATAGTCAAAGGGACCACTCTCCTTTCTTTTTGCTGGTTTTTGTTTGAATCTTTTAAGCCATCTCTTGATTCATTTTGTTTTCTTTTGCAGATAATGATTCGTGCAAAGCAGATCAGTAACTTTTCAAGTTCAGCAAGATCTTTTTTTCTTGGTGGAACAAGATCTAGTGCAGCTGATGGAAACTCTTGCACATCCGCAGATGATGAAAGCTGTGTCTTGAGACGCCACCAAACAAAGTCTGAAGCTGTACACACTGGGAACAGAGTTTCAAATTTCACACGACCATCTCCTCTTCCTCTCCACGTTTCTCCTCCTGTTTTACCTCTGAAACCAGACCCTGTTAATCAAAAGATCCCACTATCTGATGAAACTGAAGTCTCTATGCTCGATCATACTCTCCCTATTACTACTGTCAAAGCCATTGGAAGAGAGCATCTCGGTCAAGTCTACACTACGTCAGAGGGAGCTCCTATAAACGCCTCTCCAGGCACTAAACAAGCTTCAAATGATGTTTCAACCACAACTACTGTCTCTGGAAAGAGGAAAAGCATGCTCCAAACACCCAATAATGTGCATTCTAAGGATGATAAAGGTTTAAGTGAATCTTCAGGGGAGATGATGAGAGTGACACCAGCACCTAGGCAGTATTGTAACTCTGGATACATCGTAGAAAATGTTTCTAGTATATTGCGGAGATTCAAATGGGGCCCTGCTGCTGAAGAAGCTCTTCAAAGTTTTGGTATCAGGATGGATGCATACCAAGCTAACCAAGTGCTGAAGCAGATGGATAACTATGCAAACGCTCTTGGTTTCTTCTACTGGCTTAAAAGACAACCTGGGTTTAAGCATGATGGGCATACTTACACCACTATGGTTGGTAACCTTGGCCGTGCAAAGCAGTTCGGTGAGATAAACAAGCTTCTCAATGAGATGGTTAGAGATGGATGTCACCCCAATACAGTCACATACAACCGTCTTATCCATAGCTATGGCCGTGCAAATTACCTCAAAGAAGCCATTTATGTTTTTACTCAAATGCAAGAAGCTGGATGTGAGCCTGACCGTGTAACTTATTGTACTCTTATAGACATCCATGCTAAAGCTGGGTTTCTAGACATTGCCATGGACATGTATCAGAGAATGCAAGCAGCAGGGCTATCTCCTGATACTTTCACATACAGTGTTATAATAAACTGTCTTGGCAAAGCTGGTCATTTACCTGCTGCTCATAGGCTCTTCTGTGAGATGGTTGATCAAGGCTGTACCCCTAGTTTGGTTACATTCAACATCATGATAGCTTTGCACGCCAAGGCGAGGAATTATCAGAGTGCGTTGAAGCTTTACCGAGACATGAAAGTTGTTGCAGGGTTTCAACCTGATAAAGTTACTTATAGTATAGTTATGGAGGTGCTTGGACACTGTGGGTTTCTAGAGGAAGCAGAGGGTGTCTTCACTGAGATGCAATGTAAGAACTGGGTTCCTGATGAACATGTTTACGGTCTTTTGGTTGACTTGTGGGGGAAAGCTGGCAATGTTGAGAAAGCTTGGCAATGGTATCAAGCAATGCTTCACGCTGGTCTAAGACCTAATGTTCCTACATGCAATTCTCTTCTCAGTACTTTGCTTAGGGTTCACAGGCTGTCTGAAGCTTATAATCTATTACAAAGCATGCTGGCGCTTGGTCTACAGTCTTCTTTGCAGACATACACATTGCTGTTGAGTTGTTGCACAGATGCTCGTTCAAATTTTGACTTGGGCTTCTGTGGCCAGCTAATGGCGGTCTCAGGTCATCCTGCACACATGTTTCTCCTCAAAATGCCACCTGCAGGTTCTGATGGCCAGAAGGTACGTGAACACGTCAGCAACTTTCTTGATTACATGCACAGTGAGGATAGAGAGAGTAAACGAGGACTCATTGATGCAGTGGTGGAGTTTCTCCACAAGTCAGGACTAAAAGAAGAGGCTGGCTCGGTTTGGGAAGTGGCTGCAGTTAAAAATGTGTATCCAGATGCATTGATGGAGAAAAGCTGCAGCTATTGGCTGATAAATCTCCATGTAATGTCAGAAGGAACTGCAGTGACGGCACTGTCTAGGACACTAGCATGGTTCCGTAAGCAGATGTTGGTTTCAGGAGAATGTCCTTCACGGATTGATATAGTAACTGGTTGGGGAAGAAGGAGTAGAGTCACGGGGACTTCAATGGTGAGACAAGCAGTTGAGGAACTGCTCAATGTCTTTAACTTCCCATTTTTCACTGAGAATGGGAACTCAGGCTGTTTTGTTGGATGTGGAGAGCCTCTCAAGAATTGGTTAGGTGAATCATATGTTGAGAGGATGCATTTGCTCTAGTTTATAGATTAGTTTTTTTTTTTTTCTTCCTTTCATTAAGTCCTATTGAATTATTATTATTCTTTGACTGAATCTCAGTCACTTGGTTTTGTATGACATAATAAGTTTTAAGGTTTAACCCTTAAGGTTAGTGAGCCAAATTTTTGTTGTCAAACATTATCTCCTCTTGCAATGGGGAGTATATATCAAACGCCAGACGGCTAGATTTTCACGCTCAATAAGTAATTTATTGATAAATTACAGATTTTTTTTTTTTTTTTTTTGTTATACTCTTTTCATTTGTTTATACTATTTTATTAAACCAGAAATGATTATAACTCATTGATTCAATTCAGTAAAACGTTTATGATTAACCTATGTTCAAGATCTTTGAATACCTTTAACAAGTAATTTTATATTTAGAAGTAGATTAATTTTTAAAATCAATCAGAAAACTAATAGATCAGTTTTTCTGAATCTGAAAAGAAAAATCTATCAACGGATGATAGTTTTTCAGACGTGAATGAAGATCGTCAAAAATAGTGTAAAATCGCATTTGTGATCAGTTTCTAAATAGCTGTCTTAATTGTTTTATAGGAAAAACTATTTGAAAATGTAGTAAATGAAACCGTGATAATATTTTGTTTTGCTAAATACTGTGATAAATAGTTTCAAACTATAAATCATCATAGTATATATGTATAGTTTTTAATGGTTTATAAATTATGTTTAGATCATAGAGTATATTTATAGTTTATGATAATTGATAAATTATGTTTTTGAAAAAAAGTTATGACCCCAATACAAAATGCTTGTGGGAGCAGTCGCCAGCTTTCTCGCACAAGTTGCTCAAGCTAAAGTGATGAACATGAGACGGAATCAAGCATTGCAGAACTGCTCAGCTCATGAGAGGGCTAAGGCTCGTCGTGCACGTAAAACCATTGAGAAGTTTTTTCTAGAGGCAATTGATGCTGCCGCTGAAAAGGCCAACCAGGGAGGCAATAGCGAAGATGGCGGAGGTGGGGACGCCGTCGCTTTAGCCTGTTTTGTTGGATGCTGAGAGCCTCTCAAGAATTGGTTGCGTGAATCATATGTTGAGAGGATGCATTTGCTCTAGTTTTTAGTTTAGTTGTTTTGTTTTCTACTTCTTTAAATTCTTATTGAATTATTATTATTCTTAGGCTGAATCTTAGTCACTTGGTTTTTTGTATGACATAATAAGTTTTAAGGTTCAAGCTTTAAGGTTAGTGATGGCTGGAATTTATCTCCAGCTCCTGATTTTTGTTGTAAAACATTATCTCTTCTTGCAGTGGGGAGTATATAAATCAAATCTTTCAAGGTTATAACAACCAAATTTATTGACATTTGTTTTATTTTTGTACAACAATCAAATGTTACAAAACTGTTTATTTACCAGCCATGTACAATATAGGCTGCTGATTCTACAATGATGTGAACAGAAAAGGGAAAACTAGAGGAAGATCTAAAGGAGCCTTGAATTGTAGGAGCCACAAGATGTGCATTTGTGGTATAGCCAATGGTAAGGAGACTCTCCTTTTCTTCCACAGTCATTACACAGTATTACCTGTACCAAACCATATATTCCACATTCAGTTATTCTTGCGTCTCAATAATCGAGCTAAGGGTAACTAGAGTAGAGAGAGATAGAGGCTTTGTCCTAGCTAACAATGTAGAGATATAAACCTGAGTTTTGTTGGAGTATTCATCAGGCATCTTTTCTTCTGCTAGCAATGCGTCTAACATCCTAAAGTAGACCTGTGTCATAAACAGTCCTTTGTTTAGTGATTGAACCGTATTCATTGCTTCAATAAAGACTCAAGCACTTTGGCTTGGTGATTCTTTTACGAGTAAAACAATATTCTGTTTGAAAATGGTGAAACTGACCTGCATATCTCCTAGCGACTTGCTGCAGACAGGGCATGTGTAATGCAAACAAGTGTAATCCTACCACCATAATCAAAGAAAAAAAAAATCTAAGCAACTTATTTTAGGTTTTCATTATTACTCACAAATATTAAGTACCTTAAAGCATTTAGAGTGCATCAAGTGACCACATGGAAGAGCCTTCACCGGAGAGCTGGATGTGAAGATGTACTCGTGGCAAATCGGGCAATTATCTTCTAAGCATTTTTCTCTGCAAACATGCTCTTTTAAGGAACGCGACATACAAGCATTGCATTTCATGCAATGAAAGTAGTCAATACCCAATCCTTTCCCTACTCGGCAGAGATTGCAGTAGGGACAATGATAAATTTTCCTGTTAAGAGCATTGGCTTGTTAGTCTAAGAGACACATTAGATGTGCTGAAGCAGAGGAGTAGCTACCTTTCATCATCATATAATTTGCATATATTGCAGAAGTACTTTGCCATTGACGACTTGCACAAAGTATTTGAGCAGTTTGCACCAATGGGCTGAATCAGTAGGCATTTCATGCACATCATCTTTTTAATCAGTTTCCTGCATAACAATTCAAGAGAATAAAAAACCATTTGAGTGCCAAAAAATATTTTTTTGAAAGTAGAAGATGTTACACTACCTATCCACTGAGTGATCAGTTTCTTCATCATGGCATCGTATACAGGTGAAGAGCTGGTTACAACAAGGAGCAAGAAGCTTGCAGTTCCTCTTGTAGTGTTTGCAGCCAAAGACTGAACTCTGAGGATCTCTATAAGATGGATGCTGACCTTGAATTGTTTCTGTACTGCTTGCGAGAATGGCTGGTTCTTGAGTAAATATCCTCTGTGAAATAATCCAACGGCTGAAACAAGTACATGACATACTATTAGTTTTGGCATAACAAATGAAAAAAAAAATTAGGAAATGACCATAACTATCTATGGTAACTCTTGTAAGTAGAACTCTATAAAAGACTAAACAAACTTGTCAGCTTATCTGGATATGTTGTCATAAAAAAAGAGAGAGTTGACATGGCTTACCTCATTAACAAGTTCTGCTTGAGATATGATTTCTTTTGAGCATCCAGGGAAGAGTCACATGATATTTTTCTAATCATAGCCGCCATTTCTTCTTGACTCATTGTTAACAAGTGTTCATACTTCTTGGATTGACCAAACTGGTTAGCCTTCTGAGACATTGTAAAAGTTTGAGCAGGATTGATATGACAATTGCAATCAGTTTGTTCCTTGTCCTCCTTTTTGTCAGCTCCTCTGCATATCTTTTTAGTATCTGGAAGTTCCTCATCTTCTCCCTCTTTGTTATCAGGAGCAGCCTTTCCAAGTGGCTCATCCACTTCCATGTCTGTCTCTGAAAGTTTGCTTCCAATGCTCCCTTTGTCACCATCAGAAGCTCCTTCAAATAGATACTTCCAGATAATCTCTAAAGGATCTGAATCCCCAAATGGATCATTGTTTGCTTCTCCTGCTTCCTCTTCTATGACATGACCGTTGTACCATTCTATCAGCCACTGAACAAACATTGTCTTCCTTGTTGCTTGTCGCCACAAGGACATTACAACATGTTGTTCATCAGATTTCAATGAATCCATCAACCAAGGAATCATATCTTGCAATATCTCTCCACTTATTCTCCCAAGCATGCATCCTATGATCTTCTCTTGTTCTTCATTCGCAAAACAGTCCCTAAACAAACCCCATAGCTCAGTCTCTTCGTGTTGGAAATGCTCAGACAGTATCTTGTGCATGGATTTGCATATCTCTTGGAGACTCAGACATAACCGCTCATACTTCATCTTTCTGTAGTGGTCCACTGCACTGAACTTGATACTAGAGACCAACATGTTAAGTTCTGACATCTCATTCAAAATGAATGATACTTTATCAAAGTGTTTGATCTCTAGCTCATGATCAATACTAAACGAGTGACTAATATTCTGCAGCTTTCCCTTTGCCTCCAGTGCTGGAAATGCAATCTCATCCTCTGCATCAGAGTGTATCTGATACAAAAACTTTATAAGATGGAATCTCTGTTGAAATTCCCCAAGGAACCTAAAGTCAGTTGCTAATCTAGCTGATCCAGAGACAAGGTAGTCCAAATCTGCTTTCATTGCCTTGTGGAAGAAGAAGAGAAGATCAATTGGTTTAACATCCATCAGATCATCAACATTCTTCTCACCAAAAAACTCTGGAAGATGGAGAGGAGGAGGAGGAGGTTTAAGCTTTCCAGAGAATAGCATTTGCTGATTCATCCTACTAGAGTAAGGTGTCTGGTACATGTCTCCAGCAGCTGGCAAGAGGAAACATGTTGAAGACTTGTTTCTTTTCTCAGAACATACAAACAAATCAGCTTCAGTTCCTTCACAGAGATGGGACAAGGATCCAGAAGCTTCCTTTTTGCAGAAACATCTTACTTTGAACATAACAGACAGTTGTTTCCAAAAACTTTCAACAGATGTTTTGCCTGAGTAGCCAAAGCGTAGCCATTGCAACAAGAGGCGTGGAAATGATTTTTTGGGTGAAGAATCTTCCAAAGTCAAGAAATGAAGAATGGATTGAGACTCCTCTTCTGATAGATGAGCAGAGAACCATAGTATGACACACTTTAGCAATCCAAGTGGTAAGACATGTATGCTTGTGTATAGGAGCTGCCTCTGCATTTCATGGTTACAGTTCTTGCTGATGATTGGGAATACCTAGAGAAAACAACAATGAATGGTGAATACATTAGTTATACTTTAAAGTATCAGATAGTTGTTTACCTCTCTTCTCTGTCTGGAAAATTGCTTTGCTACTTGGACTATAAGGGACTCAAGCTCCTCCTTAAGTTTCAGTATAAAACCATCTGTCCTCATCTTAGGATCAGCACTTTTGTATAGTAGTCTCTGAAAAGTCTCAAGACAGCCATCTATGGTGAATTGATTGGCACTTGAAGAGCGTCCATCTGTTATATCGTCTAACACCGGGTGAAAGAACTTCTTAAATGCATTGCTGCAAGAAAAAAAAAAAGTATTCATGTAACTCAGTCAGAGAGAACAGACATGTTTCAAGAGACTAATGCATTTTAACAAGTGATTACCTATAAGAAACAAGTACATCAACAAGAAAGTTTAGTCTAGCCATTAGTACATCAAGGTCCAGAAGAAGGTTTGGGAAGCTAGCTTGGCGTAACCCTTCATGAATGTCTCTCAAATCTTTTTCAACTGCATTTTGAAAAAGCTGAAGACCATGAATAGGGCTGTGTCCTACATTTGGAATAAAAACTGGCTTTTTACTCCATTGCCAAAGCCGTTGAAAACATCCACTGCCAAAGTTCTTGGTATCTTTAGACACATCTTCATGCTGTAGTTGTTTCAAGATCTTTGTAGAAGCCCCACAATCCATCAGCCAAGAGGTTATGACCTTGAGAAAAGTCGTCTTGTATCTTGTCAGAAACTAGGAATATTGTAAAGAAAATTATACAACCATATATGAGCAAAAAAAAAATGATAAACATACCTGTTGCAATGAGTCTTCAGTTGGGACAACATTTTTCATGCAGTTCACAACTTCATTTCTCTCCTCGTGAGAGAGATAAGACATCATCCATGGCAAGAAGTCTTCAAGAATCATCACTGGAACACTACAAATGGATTGCCACACAAGTGATGCCTGTTCACGGAAAGTGAACTTCTCGATCAACAGTGGAAAGACCTGCATGAAAAATTTAGGAACCATAATGAGAAGACTGTAGCATATGGGAGTTATAAACAGAGGAAACATACAGAAAAATAAATGTGATATACCTGACGCTCTTCTTTAAGCATATGTTGACATATGGATGAGTGAATGGTGCTTATGCTTAGTATAACTTCACGTAGTACATTAGATATGTTCCCTAACTCCTGTTCAAGAACTTGTAGCCAATGGAAAATTGAGGTGAAGAGATCATCTATGCCATCATGCTCAAGAGAATAGTTAGAAACAATGTTCTTCACACGTGCATCCAGCGCCAAAAATATAACCTATAAAAGTACATAATAATCATTAATTTCACCTGATGATGACTACGTACTTAAGCTCTTATGTGAAATTTAGTAGGCATCATTAGCACAACAATTAAATATGTACTCATAATCTATTCCAAGAATATTTATCAATACTACAACATCCAGCAAATAATTTGAAAAAAAGAAAACTACTTTCACAGGTAACACGCAAGTGATAGGGTTTGTAGAAATCTAATTGAATTTGTGAGAACATAGAGAAGAGTTGTAAAAGACGTAACGCGCAAGCAATAAACATTTATGGAAAGTTTCCTCCATTTAACATATACCCATCTAAAAGTGAAAAAGACGAATCTAACCTCATCTTCAGCTGCGCTGTGATACTTGTATAAAAGTTTCAAGAACTCAAACTTCCGGCCAAACTCACCGGCCAAGTCACCACCGCTAAAAGAACCGGCTTCAACGGCGTCGGTAGCTAAACGACGGAGCTCAACCAGCTGGGCACGGAAAGCCTTGTGGACGTAAACGAAAAACAGAACCGGAGCATCCGCAAGCTTTGTATTATCGGGAGGAAGAGGATGAAGATGGTTTCCACCGCCTCCCATTTACAGCGCAACAATGAAGGAAACAGAGGAAAGTGTTGGAAAAAAGGGCAAGAAGGAAGAGAGTTGACGAAATAAAGAAGGTTTTGTAAGGGCATTGATCATCTTCGTCGTCGTCACTCTGCTGAATCTACACAGCTTTTTTTTTTAATCAATTTGGTTTTAATACTTAATTAATCAAGTTTATTACTTTCTTACATCAGAAGTGACAGAGACGTTGGAGCTGAAAACCAACAAGCTTATATCATTTTATACTTCGAGCGGGATTATTTATTCGTCTCTATTTATTTGTTACTAAATGTTTTATTTTTGTTAGTTAAAGAAAAAAATACTAATTTCTTTTAATATCTTGAGAAATTTCATTTATAATCCATCTTAAAACATAAAAAAAATAATATATACACGAGTGGATATTTCAAATTATATCAAAAAATTAGTTTAACTGCTGGCAAATTTGGTAGAACTAGCCTACTGAATTGAACCCCATAAACCAAGGATTGATCCTTTCCATGACACCTTCTAATATATATATTTTCTTTGTCTAAAAATTTCGTTTTTTAAAAAAAAAAATCTTCTTGACATTAGAAATATTCATTCACATGTATATTATCATTATTTTGTTAAAACTAGAAATACAAATATTTAATAAAAAATACTCATAGAATTTAGGGGGGGGGGGGAGTAGATATTTTCATTATTTGGAAAAAAAGTTTACATTTCAGAAAGCTTTTAATCAGTTCCTTTAAAAAATGACTTCCTGGTATCAAGATTAATTATCTAACGCGAATGGAGATAAATTATCATATTACTAAGCACGATTCGATTCATTCAACATCAATACTACTACTTTACAAAAAGAAACAATTAAACATTTTTGTCAACTGTTAACAAACTAGTTTATTTCTCCAACGTCGTTGATTATGATAGTATGCAGCCAAAACACATTAATTCCAATTTTAACTATAATGCTTTTTTTTTATAATGCTTGGTCAGGCAATAACTATAATGCGTGATCCGGGAATAACTATATATATTACGTGATCAATACTAAAAAATAAATGATCTGATAGTACTAGATTTGTTAATGATTTTGATGATGTCTTCTAAGTATAATTCTTAATGTCAGAACATGAAAACTTTCGTGATTTGCGGACGATTAAGCTGAGTCAGCCTCGTGATATTAAAACCATTGGTCGATTTTCACATACGTTATGAAAAAAGTGGCATGACTATGGCCGGCCGTACAGTTGTCTCCATGCCGGAGACCAGTCAACGCTGACTACGTTAGTTTATTCCGTTATTGGACATCCCGTTCCGTCTTGTCTTCTCCACGAGCCGCATTGTGCCCGTCGTGTGCTCTTCCCGTGACTTTACGTGACTCGCCACTCTTTCCAGTTTATTGGGCTTAATAGAATCAATACTACGCGTTCTATAAAAGACATGGTCATATAGCCGAATACTTTTAGCCCATTAAGAATACTAATATTTGATAAGGCCCATTAACAATAGAGCTCAGTGATCAAGGAGACCTCTATGTAGGTTCTGTTATGGTTTCATTTTCAGCCCATTAATAATAATATAAGGCCCATTACTAATAATATTTGCTCCAAAAAAAGGTTCTGTTATGGTTTCACAGTGGTCACCAATCTTCTAAAAATCGCTAGGCCCGGGACGTTTTATAAAGGATTATTGGTTAGGCGTTTTATAGCTAACCGTTGATTAGGCGTTTTATAAAAGATTATTTGTTATGTGTTTTATAAAGGATTATTGGTTAGAGTGACTCATTTTTTCGAAGGCCTAGACCGATTTTATAAAATATTGGTTTTGAAAATCGTTTCATCTGAGTTGTTACAATATTTTTTTCGCTCATATCTGATTTGCCGACTAAACAGTGCCTAGATCGATTTTTAGGACACTGGTGGTCACTGATGCCTGCAATGACTTCTAAACTGTTTGGGGGTTCGCCACATGGTCAACGACTCAACGTGCGTGCATCAGTTACTTTTTTTTTGTTTTTGTTTTTTTTGTAAAAGCGTACATCAGTTACTTTATTTGTAAGTTTTCTGTTAACTTATGTTTGTATCAATTATCTGTGATTAGAGGTGGGAACAAAGAAAGCTGAGATCTTTGTCTCTTTTATTTGTAGTTTGTGTATAGACATCTCCTCCAAATAATAATTTGAAATTATTAAACTCATATTGTTGTTAATAATGTATTCAAAACAATAATAACTCTGCAGGCCATCAAGTCTCATTCATTCATTGTCCAGACTAATCACAAACCAATCACCATTCACCAGTCCCTATTTATTAGCCTTTTATAGTTGACAATCTCCACATAATTTATAGTTACTTTGATAAAATATTTTGGCTTTTTGCAGCCGTAAAGAGAGAACTTGAACAAAGACATTAACTTCTGTTCTTTGTCAAGTGTCATCTTTTGCAATAAACTTTAAAACCTACTTTTTAAAAAACGGTAATAAAGTTGCTAGATATCGCAAAACCAGGGGATACAATGTCAACTACTTTGACTTTCTTACCTCAAGAAGATAAGCTCGTGAACAAAAAGAATCAAAAGCTAGCAAAAAGACATAAACTATGTCCATAGTCACTATAACACGAGAAAGTTGAAAACTTCAAAGCTAACATGATAATCATTTAATATTATCAGAGGAGAGATTTGTGGGGGATATGGTTGTTGGAAGTCATGGGAAGACAGTAAACGCCATCGCAAACTGCATTTATTTCCTGCCTGCAGAGTCAAAACTAGTTCTCTATTATTTGATTCCTTGTCCTGATAGAGAATCAGATGTATAAAAATACAGACTTATTTTCTTTTCCACTGTCATTATCCATTCCTCAACATTTGTCTCTGGTGAGACAAGATGATGATGCTTGATCAATCTCTTGTTCTCTTCTTCTTGTTCATCTCATGCTTGACTCTTTCCTCAAGAGCTATTCCTCTTTGTTCTGATTCAAGTGAGTTTTTTTTTTTTTTTTTTGTGTATCCTCTCATGGTTTTGACTTTTAGTTATTTTTTTCTGTTTTTTTTTTTCAGGAGCTCCCTTGGAGAGGAATTCAACATTGAGCTTTTGTCCTTACAGAGGCAAAACATGTTGCAATACAAAGGAAGATTCAAATCTGAACAAGCAATTTCAATCTATGAACATTTCAGACAAGGGTTGTGCTTCTATTGTAAAGTCAATCCTATGTTCTGTAAGTACAATCTGTCTTTTTATCTTTAAAACATTCTGAAATGTTCTCATTATGTAATTCTGCAAGCCTTTGACCTGAACTTTTTCTTTTACTGCTTAGAACCGTTAGTTTGAAAGAGGAATTGTGTTTTAAGTTTTGCCTTTTTTTTAATGTGTGGCTGTGATGTTACAGAGATGTGATCCTTTTTCATCAGACTTATTCAGAGACCATTCAGATCATGTATCTGTTCCAATCCTCTGCAACAATACCGGTTCAGCTAATTCAACAAATGACTTCTGCTCTGAGACATGGGAGACATGTCAAAACATCTCCATATCAAGCTCTCTTTTCGCTGCTTCATTACAAGGCCAAGCTGGAGCGCCAATGAACACCAACGCCTCCAAGCTTGCTGATCTATGGCAGTCCAAAACAGATTTCTGCAGCGCCTTTGGTGGAGCTAGCTCCAATGAAACCATCTGCTTCAGCGGAGAGCCAGTTACACTTAATGACACTACTCCTGAGAAGCCTCCTGCTGGTTTATGCCTTGAGAAAATCGGAAACGGCTCTTACCTCAACATGGTTCCTCACCCTGATGGCTCAAACCGTGCCTTCTTCTCTGCACAACCTGGAGTAGTGTTCTTGGCTGGTTTACCTGATCAAGACTCTGGTGGGGTGTTGGATGTGGATCCATCTAGTCCCTTTGTGGATTTAACTGATGAAGTTCATTTTGATACTTCTTTTGGTATGATGGGTATGGCTTTTCATCCCAAGTTTGCTCAAAACGGGAGGTTCTTCGCTTCTTTCAACTGTGATAAGTCCAAGTGGCCAGGCTGTACTGGTAGATGCTCTTGTAACTCTGATGTGAACTGTGATCCTTCCAAGATAACACCTGATAGTGGTTCTCAACCATGCCAGTTCCAAACTGTAATAGCTGAGTATACAGCTAATGGTACCTCTTCAGACCCTTCTAAGGCTAAGAACGCTAAGCCAACAGAAGTGAGGAGGATATTCACAATGGGACTTCCTTTTACATCACACCATGCTGGACAGATTCTCTTTGGTCCTTCAGATGGGTACTTGTACTTTATGATGGGAGATGGAGGTGGAGGTGCAGACCCTTATAACTTCGCACAGAACAAGAAGTCTTTGCTAGGGAAGATCATGAGGCTTGATGTTGATAACTTTCCTAGTGCCTCTGAGATCTCCAGGAGAGGTCTATGGGGAAACTACTCTATACCTAAAGACAATCCTTTCCGTGAAGACAAAGCGCTTGAGCCTGAGATATGGGCTGTTGGATTGAGAAACCCTTGGAGATGCAGCTTTGATTCTTCTAGGCCTTCTTACTTCATGTGTGCTGATGTTGGACAGGTAAATAAATGAATGGTTTTGTTTTGGACAATGACGTGTGTGTTGTTTCTTGATATGTTTTTTTTTTTTTTTGCGGTTGATAGGATACATATGAAGAGGTGGATCTTATTACTAAAGGAGGAAACTATGGTTGGCGTGTGTATGAAGGCCCTGATCTTTTCCATCCTGAGTCATCTCCTGGAGGAAACACATCTGCTAAATCCATAAAGACTATATTTCCTGTGATGGGTTACAACCACTCTGAAGTTGACTCAAGTGGAAAATCAGCTTCAATCACTGGAGGTTACTTTTATAGATCAGAGACTGATCCTTGCATAGATGGAATGTGAGGCCAACACACACTTTTTTTCTCTGCTTCCTCCTATTTTGTAGCTACATTGCAACTAAAATGTGTGTGTTTGCAGGTACTTGTATGCTGATCTTTATGGAAATGGAGTGTGGGCGGGGATTGAAACGCCTGCTAATAGCGGGAAC